TTTCTGATCGCTGTACAACTTCATTTCCTCAGAGTCCAAGCTGTCCTCAGGCCTCTCTGCAGAGAATCATCCACCATGGAAGGGTTTTAGGGAAGGATTTTTTTTTTTTTTCAGAATGAAGTTTCAAACAATAAAACTGGAGGCTGGCCTAATCCTTGATCTCTGAATTATTCCAGAGCTGTCTTGAAACGCTTCCCGGAGGATGCACAAATGTTGGCCAGCATTCCCAATGCTAAAACTCCGAGCAAACTCAGCAGGAAACAAGAGAAGAGAGGCCTGGGTGCGCGGCCCTAGCCCTCTGCCCGGACGTGGGCAGGGGTGGATTCACCAGCAGGTGTAGCGGCCGCAGCGGCACCTACCTGTGGCTCTTGGGAGACGCCGAGGCAGGGAGGCTCCTGGGGAGGCCAGGGGTCCCACGGCCCCAAGGATACTGAGCAGCAGGACCCTTCGAGCCCACGCCGGCCCCCGATTCCTCTGCATTTCTGCTGCTCTTTCTGGAGTGTGCAGCTCGGGAAGGGGGGCAGGAGGACTGAATCATGTGAGGAGCCTGCTTCCTGTCACCCCGGGCCTGCCTGGGGCTCCTCTCAGCAAGGCCAGCACAGGGCAGAGGTGACTGCAGCCAGCCAAGCTTCTCTAATCAGGAATCCCCAGCCCATGGAGGTCCGGGGAGGGAACGGGGGAGGAGAGCTGGCGGGCATTCCCTACATCCTTCCCTGCAGTGCCCAGCCACAGGGCAGACCCAGGCAGCTTCCCCTTTCTCTCATCCCGGTTTGCTTCACCCTTCCCCTACAGTTTTGGACTTTCTCTAGATTTGTAAAGATCCCTTATGATGGTTTCCACCTCTCTCCCCAGCCCCTGCTCCTGGGAAGAACTGGGGCTCAGGTTTGTGCCTTTCGTGGCTATCTTGTCTCTCTCTTGTGGTTCTGTTTGGCCTCTCAGCTTCATTGCCAGGTAGCGCTGGAGGTCTGGAGCTCAGTTAGGAGGAGAGTGCAGGAACCTGGCTTGAACGAATGCGGCAGCAATGGGAGGGAGAGGACTGTAAACTCAAGAGCCATTTAAGAGATACAATGGATGCCGCTTGGTCATTAAGTGACCATGCTTTCTGCCAGAGGGTGCAGTCTCAGCTGCAAGCTAGACAAGCCAAGTAGGCTCAGATAGGGACCACTGTCTTCCCCATCCTAGCACTGATGAGGTGAGCCAAGGTGGCAAGAACATGGGGCAGTATAGCAATCTGTGATGTTGCGGACCCTGTACTGAACCAGATGGAAAACGCTCTGCCCCAAGGAGTTGGAGGCACCCAGCTTTACTGTGCCGGTGGGTTGATGAGGGATCACGCCCCTTTGGTGCAGAGCTGGCACTGATTTTTTAGGTTTGCACGCAGGAAGTATAGAGGCCTTAAACATGGTCAGTTTTTTATTGAGTAGTGTCATTGGGGTTTTGCAAGGGGAACAATACAATACCCAATAATATTATAAGGTTATTTGTGGTCACCCAAAAGGAGTGCAGGAAATCTCTTCACACACTAAAGACCAAAGAATTCAGCTGAGTGCCTGAATCCTACAATAGCATCCTGCATGAGTCTAGCCAAAGACCTGGAGCCCATAACAATGCCTCCCACAAGTCCAACTGGAGGCCTCGGGCCCATGACAGGGTCTCATGCAGGCCCACTTCATGGATCTGGGCTGGGAAGGCCCAAACGTCAGGGGTGGAAGCCAGGAAGTCTGTGGCAGCAGGATGAAGGACTCTTAAATGCACCAGCTGCCAGTCCTCCACAGGCAGCATCAGTTACTCCTCATTGCTGAGCAGAAAGTCCTTGAAACAAGTTAGCAAACAGGGTGAGTCTGGGGGCTAGAAAGTCCAGGTTGTGTGGCCAGGGGCAGTCATGCCGAGCCAGGTCGGGCTAGCGCTGCCATCAATAGTCGGGGCTTAGCGTGTCAGGCAGACAAGCATTGCGGTGGGCCATGCGACCTCATTTTTTCCTAAGGTGGTGTCAGACCAGTTGATTTTTAAAGTTTAAAACATTTCCATCTCAGTGGCTAACAGCATGGGTTCTGGAGCCGCCCCACATGGTCTGAGTCCCAGCACTGATGTTTACCAGCTTGCGACCGTGGGCAAGTTGTTTGACCTCTCTGCTCTTCCTCACCATTATCTGCCCAGCAAGGGTCATTTCTCTTTGGGTTGTGGTGAACACTGCGTAAGTGAATGTGTGTAATCAATTAGAACAGCCTCCGCTGCTGGCCAGTACACATCTATCCATTTTTATTATTTATTTCTCTTGATTGAGATAAAAGCTTTTTAGGTCATAAAGGAATTTTGTACTTTAGCAACTTCCACGGTTCCTTTGCTTTGCAGACAAGCGTAAACATGGATGTGCCTGCTAAGTTTTAGGCTTAGAAACTGGGTTTATCTGGTGGAAGGGAGTAAGTTGCCTCTTGGTTTTCATGCTCTTGGCTTGGTAAAAATTCCTGTAAGCTCTTGTTTTATTTCCCATTATAAGCTTCTCGGAAACTGTCATTTCTAGGAACTAGAGACCCGGATGTGCGGTGAGGCGGGATCCTGAGTCATCACGGAGCCCAGGGACAGCTGATTCTCAGCAGGCCCAGGTTCACAAAGGCCGCTGGGCTGTGGTCGCCGGCCAGTGCGGCCACGAGGAGAGCAAGAGGCCACTTTGTCTTGTGCTGAGTGGATGTGTCCTCCTCAAAATAGCGCTTCAATCAGTGCATACAGGCCAACCTCACACAGAAGGAAAATATGCACAGCAGCAAAAACCAACCCACACAGCGAGCTTCTCATGCCTGCTGCTAACTAATCCAAGAGGGGGAACCAGCATCAGGAGGTGCAGCTCGGTGACAGCAGAGGCCCGCGCGCGGAGTAGGTGCTCAGCCAGCACCCGGTGAGGGCTTGCACTGTGGCCGTGCCCGCAGGCACAATCCCAGAACATCAGAAAGAAGCCTTCCACTTCAGCGTGGCTTCACCGGAAGGGGGCCAAGCAGACAGGCTTTCTGCATTTATTCAAAGTCTGTAAAATAAAACACATGTAAAGAAGAGCCACACAAAGTGCACGCAGTGTGTTATTACAGTGTTCTTTTATGAGACGGGGAGCCTTGTAAACACCCCTTGTTCAGAAATAAACCTCTGCCAGCCACGCTGGTCTCCATGCGCCTCAATCTCACTTGTTCATTTCAATAAAGTAACCTCTCTCCCGACTGGTGCTGTAGCCACTTCGTGTGTGTGCGTGTGTGTGTGTGTGTGTGTGTGTGAGCGTGTGTGTGCAAGGAACTAACACCTATCTTTCATTTTTAGGACACGGCCACAGGTCTCTCCGCCTTGCCATGGCTCTCCTCGGACCTCTCAGGAACCCAGGACCTGATTGTACTCTCCCAAGTCCTGATTTTGGTGGTCAGGACCTCCGTTTTCTAGATTTTTATACTTTGGCATCTGTGTGCCAAGGCTTCTCTGTATTCGGTGCTATGCCTCTGTCAGCCTGTAGGTGGCGGCTTCTTGCGCAGGAAGCACAGGGGGTCTGCTTGTCCATAAAGTGAGCCCCTGTTCACTCGTTACCTAGACTCCTGAATCCCTTGGGGCTGCAAAAAGGCGGCGTGTTAATGCTATAATTTTATCTTCACTTATCAGTTGGGATAATTTACACAAAAAACGCATTCTATCATCCACTCTTCGAGTACCCAGGGGTTCCCAGTTTATATAAGAAGGATCAGACACATGCTCAATTACTTCCTATTATTTAGCAGTTCTCCAAACAATTAATTGGTTCCCTATTTTCCTCTAAAAGCAACCAATTAGATTTAAAAATTATTATGAATTAATGCATTTAATTCTATTTGATGGGTCTCAATCAGTTGTAATTATTATCCGTTTTGAAAATCAAGTTGACTCATCTTTAACCAGGGGGAGCCTCTTTACTGCGGTTTCTGAGTGCCTTGAGTTGGTCTTGATCGTCTTTGATAGTTTCCTCATCACCGGGGACAAAATGGCGGGCCAGGATTATCTTTATATGAAGCCAACCATTCCCCTCAAATACTTTGTTTTTTCAACTGGAAAGTACTTTAAGACCACAATTTAAGAATCTGTGTTGTTTGAGTTGTTGATTCCCATGGAGTCAGCCATTGTTCATACCCCCGCACACCCCACAAACACAGATATCTCTGCATCTTCATAAGGCCACTGAAAAATTTATGACAATTTTCGTTCAAATTCAGAGCTACCCTTCCTGATTTTATTTTATAGTTTTATGGGGAAATAGTATGTATTTAGGATTAGCCAGCTGGACTCAGTTTAGATGACGCCAATTTTGTTGGCAGCATCCAATGTATCATAATCAGGGGCCAGTCGACCAAATGCCTTCTTCTCTCCATCAGGCCTGATTAGGGGACTGACCTTGGCAACATCGATGTCATAGAGCTTCTTCACAGCTTGTTTGATTTGGTGCTTATTGACTTTGGCATCCACAATGAACACGAGTGTGTTGTTGTCCTCAATCTCTTTCATAGCTGACTCTGTGGTCAGGGGGAATTTGATGACGGCATAGTGGTTGAGTTTGCTTCTCGTGGGGCGCTCTTCCAAGGTATTTGGGCTGCTTCCGGAGCCGCAGTGTCCTGGGATGGCAGAAGGTGGTGACATGCGTATCTTCTTCTTTTTGTGGCTGTGGATGCCTTTCAGCACAGCCTTCTTGGCCTTCAGAGCTTTTGCTTTGGCTTCAGCTTTGGGAGGGGCTGGGCTTCCTTCTTCGTCTTCAGCGCCATCTTGGTAAAAAGGCTTCCTTCCTGTTTTTAAATTGAACTTTTATGTACAAACTGTGGTTCTCCTTTGTTTCATATCAAAGAGAAAAATCTATTTCTCATTTTAATTGTGAATAATATTTCATAATTAGTCATTTACTGATCCCATATTGCTGATTCAATAGTTTCAACACAATGATATGGGTTCGACCACTACCGATGAAGCTTAATGAGGAGAGCTGAACATTTTTCCATATGTTCATTTACTGCTTCCCTGTATTTTAAAAGTTATGGTTTATCTACATTTCCTGAGTGTTCAGTCATTAAATGTGCTGTTTCTCACAATGTATCAGCATCTATGGGACATGATAGAAGCAGCTCTAAGAGGGAAGTTTATAGCTATGTTTGCTTACACTAGAAAAACAGAATGATCTCGAGTAAATAACTTAATGATACATCTCAAGGTCCTAGAAAAACAAGAACAAACCGAACCCAAAGTGAGGAGAAGGAAAGATAATAAAGATAGGAACTGAATTAATGGGAGACAAAGCAATAAAAAGACCAGGGAATCAGAGTTGTTCCTTTGAAAAGATAAACAAGATTGAGAAACCCTTCACCACGCTAAGCAAAAGAGAGAAGATCTGCGCTGATAAAATTAGAGACAGAACGCCAGTATTACAACAGATACCACTGAAATCTAGAGGATTATTGCAAGCTATTTTGAAAATATATTAAAATAAATAG